ATTGAATTAAAAAATTACACAAAAAATGAGGAATTTTAAATAGTTAATTTGATACGAATATCGATATATTTTTGTTATGCATAAAGTACTGTATACTGATGCATATTACTTAAAATTCAAGATTACAAGTAATTATGCATAAGTACAACTTATTAAAACTCTATTTTTAAAATCGTGTGACTAACTGCAGATAAATTTAATCAAATACAAGATAAACATTCATTTTAAATATAGAAAATCAAAAATATAATTAAGATAATCATTGAGTTCTAACAGAATGTTTAATTATTATCTTTATATAAGGAAAATAAATTAAATTATAATAAAAAAATTGAATTAAAGAAGTTACACCAAAAAAACAAGAATTATTAAATAGTTAATTTAATACTAATATCAATTTATTTTGTTCAATTTTTATGTCATCTTCAAATTTATATTTCATTAAAAAATAAAACCATTACTGCTTTATCAAAACCACATAAAATCGTATTATATCGATAGAGACTAGAATAAAACCAAACATTAAAATCAAGATTTATCTCGCTGCATTGCGCGAGTACCTTTCTAGTATATATATGTATATATATATATGTATATATAGGGTTGGGTTCACGTGAGACCAGCATGTTTTCGTGAGACTATATTTTTACACTTGAAACTTCACAACAAAAACACTGTGAAGGTTCAAAATAGTTGAACCTTCACAGCAAAAACACTATGAAGGTTAAAAAAAGTCACCTTCACAGCATTTTGCTGTGAAGTTTCAAGTGTAAAAAAATAGTCTTACGGGTCTCACGAAAACAGTCTGGTCTCACATGATCCCAAGTCTGTATATATATGTATATAATTTCCTTTCCTCAATAAAAAAAAGGTTTCGGAAACACCGTGTTAGTTACTAAACTTACGTTTTGAATTTGGATTTAGGTCCTCTCCATTCTCATCTTATATTTATTTATCTTCAAGAATACCAGCAACAAACTCATGCAAAATAATTCAAATTAAATGACAAATTTGTGATACAAACCTTATTAAATCAAAAACAACCTTCAATCTAAATAATAATAATAATAATAATAATAATAATAAATAAACCTTGTAACAAAATAAAATATTAAGGCTTCTTTCTTGAAGCTTGGTGATTGGCATATATAAATATATACATGTTGATGCATCTTCTGAAATAGGTGACCTTCTGCATGCTTGGATATGTCATAAACCATTCCTAGACCCCAATCTCATAAATCAATTATGAAACCCTTGATTTGGTTCCGCAACTCCACCAACTTTCGTCTGAGTTTTGTGACGAAAATCAATGCCGAAGAAAGCCAACAGGCAACGCTCCACTAGCAATAAGGCTTGGGCTTCTACGTCACCGGTTCAAGTCCGCTGGGGATTTTACTAGCATTTCTCCAAGGGCCCATGTGATCAGTTGAGGTCACGTAACGTTGTTACCCAAAAAGGCAAATGCCCTTCTCCCCTCTACACAGTAAATTAACAGTTAAAAGACAACACAATTGTATGTGTTTCGGTCAGATTCATTATGCATTGGAGACAAGTATCTTTGTGCAAATTGCTCCAACGTTCTCAGCAGTACTAGCAAATATATATCAGGCAATTATATATATATATATATATATATATATTCCATTAGCATCTTAAATTCATAATATGGATTAAGGAACAAGCTAGGGATCCATTTGATACTTGCTGATTTCAGACAAACTAAGCGATTCTTATTCATTGGACTGTTAAATGCTATTAAGATCTGGAAAAAGGAAAAAAGACAGAAGCCCCTTAATACATCTATGTTTGAATGAATCAGACTGGACAGCTAAGAGGGTGGGAGAGTGGAGTCTAACATGTAAATACATAGAAAGGCATTCAATAAGAGACATGAACACAAGAACCACGCCTTAAAGGTTAATGTCTTGCCCAAAAACAAAAGCCACAACCGGGTCCCAGCTGGGCCCACTTCATTTTATTTTAAAAATTGAACACATTTGACCTCTTGGTACTAGATAACTCATTACAACCAATTCCATGGTGGACTGATGTTGTCAAAATTGAGTTTATAGGATGCCTAAATTGTTTAACGTTCTAATAGAATGCCTTGTAGGACTTAAGTTTATAGGATCAAAAAATAAATTATCTTATCTAAAAGTGTTACAATAAGTTTATAGACGGCGCTAGCCTTATGACACTATTTGGAAAAGTGTCCTGTAAACACAAGGGTCCTATAAAAATATGGGTTTATGTCCTATAAAATAGCTAATACGAAACTTTTTTTAAAAAGGTCCTAAAAACTTGTTACGACGCCCAAAAGCATCATATAAACTTACCTTAACATTTTTAAATAGAACGTTTTATTTGTTGATCCTATATGGCACTCTATTAGAACACTCAAAACACTTGAGCGTCCTATAAACCCAATTTTGTTATAGTGAGTTCGAGTTGTTTTAAGCAGTTATGAGTATGCAAGCAACATGATCTGAGAAAATCCGTTCTTGGTGCAATCACAATGTTTGTTTTATCTTATGCACATCCAACTTTGGTATATTTGAACTCCATGCTTGATCAATTATATCAGATTCACCATGCCAAAAAGCAGCACATCATATATAGCAAAAAGCTAGAATAAAAGCATTATGTGGTAGGGTTATTAGCTGGTGTAACCAAGAAATCACAGCCTCAAAGAGTCATATTTGCTGTCAGCCTGTCAAAATAAACTACTTCAAAAATATGATGGAAAGATTTTATGATTCCCTAAATGAAAACACTATAGTTACCATCAAACTCATCAAAACCTTTTCTTCAGAAAGGAAAAAGGATGGTGGGTTTGTGGGTTTTCATAGATTTACTCTTGACTAGATACTAGGGCTCAAAATTCAAGTGGAAAAAACCAAAAAAAGGCTAAAGAAGGCACAAGTAAATGAGTACCTGACCAGGTTGAAGAAATCCAAACAGTGGAGAACTCCCATTGTTTATGGAGAAGGAAGCAATGAGGTGTAGAAAGAGATGTACATCTATCAGTCAATATAATTAATGCCTACGTTGAAGAACCATCATTGCAGTTTGCAGCAACTCTCTGGCTTTCCTATCCGGTGAGCACCCAGTGGACTCCATATCCTTATATATTACAGGTACCTGGCATCGACCCACAAACATTTACGCAATTCCAACTACACTAAAACTGCAAAAATTTAGCAATACAAATTGCATTGGATGTTGAAGACAGGATTGGGGTTTGCACACCTTGTCGAACTCCTTTGCCCTTATTAAAGCTTTCATTAGTGTACTGTAGGTAACCACATCAGGACTAACACCCTTCAAGAACATTTAAGATTACAATTAGCATAGAGAGCTTCAATTTAAGATGTATCATTAGGTTTAATAGGCAAACAGACATACACTTTCTTTTATGTGCTGATATACTGAGAGTGCCTCCAAGTGTCTTCCAGCAATACCGAATGCATTTATCAAAACATTGAGCATGATAAGGTTTGGTTCGATTCCATCAAGTTCCATCAACTGGAGAACTTTAACTGTTTGCTCGCACAGACCCTGTGTAAGAAGATCGAGAAGCAAACAAATTAACAACACTCGTAGACAGTTTTAAAACCCAGTGTTGCTACCTGTCTTTATATATGCAAGTTTAAGCAAATGATGGACTGGCGAACGAGTTCCACAACAAACTGAAAGTCCAATTTGGTTTTTTTAGGTATTGAACACAAATCCTTAATAGATTCACTTATACCATTGGGCAAAGACCACTTGGTTGGATATCCAATTGCTATATATATCAATTTACCATACTTTCCTTTATATCACATAGTTGTTATATATATTTGTGTGTGTGTGTGTGTTAGATTTTGTTCTTGCAGACCCATAAAGTGTATAATCTTCAGATAGACCATTTTCATATCAACATGTTCATAGGAGACTGTTGTATAAGAAAAACAATGTTTGGAAACATAAGAATCTTCAAAGAGCCATACATTATTTTGTTTTTGGTATGTCGTAATAGATCCGAACACTTGCTCAAGATAGACTTCCGGATCATAATTGCTTAGGTGAGTAACTAAAGAAAATTGATAGATGGGAGATAGAAAACTAGAAAGGAGAGAAACTAATTATATAATAAATATCTCCCCGAGATTCACTAATTATCTCTGTTGGCAGGTCTCTTAGCAAGTGTTCTCCAGGAGAGGACTCAATGATTATTCGTCAATGTTCTTTTCTTTTTTGCATGTTAAAAGTATAGCAGTTTGTTAACACATTCACGCTAAGAACAATGCTTAGAACTAAGGTTGTAAAAGAACCGAACGTTCAGCGAACCATTCGTGAACCGTTCGGCGGGAAGGTCGTTTATGTTCGTTTATTTAATAAATGAACGAACATGAACAATTTTTTTTGTTCGTTGAGTTAAACGAACGAACATGAACAAGAGTCTCGTTCATTCATTTATGTTCGTGAATGTTCGTTCATTTACGTTCGTTTATATTCATTTCTTTATGTTCGTTTATATATTAAATTTAATATATAATCTTTTATTTATTTAGTTTGAATTCAAATAATATTTATTTAAGTTTTAACTTTTTAGAATTTATTTAGATTTAAATTTTATCATCATTTTGTCTTATTTGAAATTTTAACCTTTTCACTTTTCACTGTTCGTTTAGCTTGTTCATTTATGTTCGTTCGTTTACGTTCGTTCGTTTACGTTCGTTCGTTTACGTTCGTTCGTTTACGTTCGTTTAACATGTTAACGAACGAAGATAAAGAACACGAACACACCTGATTTCTAAACGAACGAACACGAACACAGATTTTTGTTCGTTTACCGTTCGTGATCGTTCGTTTGTTTGGTTAAGTTAAATGAACGAACATGAACAAGTCTATGTTCGTGTTCGTTCGGTTCGTTTACAACCCTACTTAGAACAGATATATAATTTTATATTCTATTGATAATGGAAAGCCATGGCAGAACAGCATAGAAAGGTGGTTGATATTTAGTTAACTTCATTGTGACTCCAAAAAGATCATGTAGCTGGTTATAAATATTTGACGCTTTGTTGATGCATGTTTTTAATTATTCTGCATTTACCAAGCAACCATGACAATATAGAGCACCAACTCAATGCCATAATAGTAAAATGAACCGGTGAGAGAGTGAAAATCCAATCCAAGAATCTAGAAATAGAATAATAACTTGCCTGTTGGGCATAGGCGTTTGCGAGCACACAATATATTCTAGCTGAGAGTGGAACTCCTTCCAGTTTTAGTGTATTTATGCATTCCTCAGCATCCTCAAATCTCCCATATTGCCCATAAATATCAACCAAAACTGCATAAATGATCCCACTTTTCCAGTGCCCTCCATGTTTCATTTGCTCAAAGTTTTTCTCTATTATGTCCCACTTGCCCTGTTCTCCTAAGCGACTAATGATGGTAATGAAGATACTTGGATCAGGATATAATCCTTGTGTTTGCATCTTATCAAACAGTAGAAGGGCATTCATCAGATCTCCATGCTTGCAATGCCACCCGATCAAAGAATTCCATGTGCTGATATCGGGTGTAATCCCTTCTTGCTGCATTTTATCAAACACTTCTATGGCATCTCCTAGTTCACCAGATTTCCCAAAGATGTCTATGATACTATTAAAAATCTTCTTGTCAAGTGAGACTCCGTTTTCCCTTATTTCTCCTACAAGGTTTATAGCTTTCTTCCACATTCCATTGTCCCTATAAAGTTCAATAATTCTACTGTACACAAATGTATTAGGTTCGAACCCATCCTTCCTCATTTTGGCAACAACTTCCCAAGAATCTTCCAAACGTCCAGATCTAACATGATAACCAAGGAGAATCTCGTATGTTTCTCGGTTCTTACACACACCCATATCGTTCATTGACTCCATAACTCTATCTGCAACGGTCAGAAGACCTTTTCCCAGAAAACATTTAAGCAAGACATTATACACTTTTGGCCTTGGCTGAAACCCCGAGCTTACCATTTCTTGAAAAATTGCCTCCACTTCCAAAGTCCTGCCTACACTCGCAAGGGATATTAACAGACAAGTGTAGGAGCCATAACTCAAACGAAATCCTAGGGCTTCCATCTGAGAAAGAAAAGCCATTGCTTTATCAATGTTTCCTGCTTCACATAGCCCACATATGTACCTGTTTGACAGCTCAGATGACAGCTCCTCGCCTGTAGTATATTCAGTTTGGCTCTCTGAAATCAACGACTTCTCAAATCCATTTGCTAAGCACTTTAGTCCATTTGCATAAACCTCTTCAACATGAATTCGATGGCATAAAGGATTCAGATTATTGCGGTTTAGGCTGCTGGCTTGACAAAATCTTGGAGCAAGAAGGAATTCGAATGATTTACGGTGAGAAATGACTCCACTTGTAATGGAACACAAGATGGACATTGCATCTCCTCTGTAGCAACTGCATGAGAAAACCAAAGTTGAGTTATCAGTCATGAGCAGAACACAAGCATTCTAACAACGCTGTCGAACCTAGCCCTTTTATAGAAAATAACCAACAAAGTTAATTTTATCATTTTTTGGTCAGTTTTCATGAATTGCAAAACAACATTCTTTCATTAGCTTCTACTCCACTTTGTAATTAGCATGGACTTGAAGATGATCTAAATAGGCACCGAGGAGATAGTAGGGAAATTTTTAAAACTTGACACTTTTTTGTCAAAGCTTATTCTTGCAAACTAGAGGTGTTCTTTTTGAATTTTTTGCAAAATCAATTGTTCTATTTGCAATAGGAAGCCAATTACAATGGCCTTCCGCATGTAAGTCAGTTGGCAAAGGGTCGGGGCGACTTTGCCCAAATACAAGACATATCCCAGGTGTGATTCCGAGCCCCCCACTAGCCTCAACCACCGAGTGATCCGAAAATGCCCCCTCACATTGAAGTTAAAAAAGGCTTTGTATGACCTTAAACAAGTCCCACAGGCTTGATATAATAGAAATCGAGTCCTGTTTTATTACTGAAGGTTTTCTAAAGAGTCCAAGTGAGCACACACTCTTCACCAAGAAAGGAGCAGGTGGAAAATTCCGATAGTAAGCATATATGTAGATGACTTGATCTTCACGGGTAGTGATTCAGCTATGTGTGAAGAATTTAAAAACTCCATGAAGCAGGCTTTTGATATGACTGATTTAGGTAGAATAAGTTATTTCTTAGGTAGTGTTTGGTGCAGACTAGAGTGGACTGGACGGGACGGGACTAGACTAATTGTCTTTCTCATGTTTGGTACGACTAGGACAAGACAGGATAAAACTGTTAAAATGACCATATTACCCCTAAATTCTGTAGGGTTTACCACTAGGGCATGCTTATACTTATCTGATCATTCCAGACATATCTATTAGTTAAAAATTGAGTTGCATTAGAACCAATAGCAACTTATGACAGGAATGTTGTACCAAGAAATGAAGACAATAAGCTTATGCTTATGTTTCATCTACCCAAATTGAGTTGCATTAGAACCAAATTTATCTTRTGACATTTCATTATAACAAAAACATCATAATAACATCACCCCAGTTTGCAGAGGAGGCGATAAACAAAGAAACGATTGCAGAGGAGGCGATAAACAAAGAAACGATTGCAGAGGAGGCGATAAACAAAAACAAAGCAAAATCGTGAGCAGCAAAAAAACGAGAGGGAGAAATCATACCGATTGCAGAGGAGGCGATGGAGGCCGGTGGAAGAAGCCGATGTGGAAGAGGCGATGTGGAGGAGGCGATGTGAAGAGGCTGTGGAAGAAACGATGACGAAGAGACGATGTGAAGAGGCAGAAGATGATGGAAGAGACGAGGTGAAGGAGCTGTGCTAATTAGTTTTTCCAATTTGAAACAAGGGTAATATAGTCAAATCATATTTAGTTTCATGTTGTTCTACTTTTTTGGTGGAACAAAAACTACCAAGTTTTGTCCCATGAAATTTAAAAATAATCTCATCTTGTCTCATGTATTTTTTATGCATGGCATGCCAAACATAGGACTATTTTCTTTTGTCCAGTCCCGTCCCGTCCCCTATAGTGTGCATGTCACATCTCAAGTACCAGCTACCCAAAACTTATATCAAGACAGTCAAGATCCTTTTGAATATTATTTTTAATCTTCAAAGTGTTGTGTGTGTTTGGGTATTGCTTTTGCAAGCAATTCTTTGTATCTATTCAAAATATATCTTATCAAAACCACGTGAAATACACTCTTTGGTATTTTCGATAACATCTTGTTCAAAAATTTTATCTTATCAAAATTATACAGGTACATGATAAGAACTTTATTCACAAGATATTGTTTAAAGTAGATTCGATATGTTTATTCCAAAAGCAGATGCGATGTGTTGGTCTCATTATTCAATACAGACAAAAGGCTTTACTTTTCAACTTTCAACTTTTCAAAACAAAAGATTGATTTTGTCGGCCACATCTCAATTATTCTACTTCAATGGAAGATGCCGGTTTCAAATTGGATTATTATGAAGACCACTGGAAGATGCCAGTCATCCACTAAAAGACTTCAACTATAAAAGCCGATCAAAGCTCTTCAAATGGATCATCGAAGTTTTTCAGATATTCTTAGCCTTAAGAATTCTTAGTCATAATGATATGTCAAGCAAAAAACCCTCTTTTGTATTTTCAACTTCTCAATGTTCCAAGTCTTTAGATTTCAACCTTATTATAGCTCCTGATGTATGTTCAAAGTGTCACAGCCACAATTGTCACCCTTAAAGGCCGAGGTAATTCAGAATGAAGTTGGCATCTTTATCGGTCAAAAAAATATGCTGACAAGGTATGCAAAGGTTTCGCATGAAAGAGTGTAATTGACTTAGAAATCTCATGGTGCCTAGCTTCAAGATGGAAAAAGATGAAGAAGGGACAAGAGTGGACACCACATAGTACGAGCAAGCAATTGGCAGCTAAATGTACTTAACGTGACGAGACCTGACCTAATGTATCTGGTAAGTTTAGCAAGCAGAAATATGGAAACGCCTAATCAGCTGCATATGCAAGCTGTCAAGAGGGTATTCAAATATGTGAAAGGCACTACCGACTACGGGGCGTATTACAAGAAAGATGAAGGAGCAGAAGAATTGTGGACTTCTTCAGATAGTGATCATGATGGCGACTCTGACGACAAGAGAAGCACTTCTGGGTATGTGTTTATGCCAAGTCTCTTGATCTTCTAAAAAGCAACGAGTGGTTAGTCTTTCCACAACTGAAGCCGAGTATATTGTGGCTGCTGCTTGTGCATGTCAAGCTGTTTGGTTGGGTAGGATTTTGAACAGCCTAGATGGGGGTAACAGTAAGTGCACTATGATACAATGGGATAATTCTTCTACACTCAAATTGTCCAAGAATCCATTTTTTCATGGGAGAAGCAAGCAGTTCCAGGTTAGATATCACTTCCTTCATGAGTTATCTGATGATGGTGTGATTGAGTTGAAGTACTGTAGAACTCAAGATCAAGTTGCTGATGTGATGACTAAGACCTTGAAACTCGAGGTCTTTGTCAAAATGAGGGAGACGATGGGTGTATGCGAGATGGCATTAAAGTGAAATGGACAGCAGCAGCTCCTGTCCAGTTCAGGGAAGATATGTTAAAGTTATTGCCGAGTTTGTGCTGTTGTTCCATAATAAATTTCAGTAGCCAGTGTTTATTCCTTTATTCTGTTTTTGACGATTTCAAGGTAGGTTTTCCTTATTTGTAGGATTCAAATATCATGGGTGATTTTTCTGCTGATTTCCAGCTTTTTTCAGTTGTAGTTGGCTATATAAAGCCTTAAAAGTTATTCAATGAAGTCAAGCTTTTGGGCTCTCAATTTCTGTTTGTTTTCTTATTTTTTGTGAGTTTCAACAATTCATACGAATACAGAAGACTTTTAGCATTTAAATAAACACAGTGCATACCTTATGCGACCTCTTCCCAAGTGAAACAAAAGTTGTGCCAAAAGAATGCTGACAACTTCAACAGTTTCACCTTATTATTTGAAGAAAAATAAAAAATCCAGAAGTAATCACGTCTTCTTCAATTGGGCATTTTCTGTATATCATTTCTTAACATTCTTATTCATATGCAGTTGGGCCTACACACTTTTTTCAGAAAACTGGTTGCAATTTTGAGTTTCCTTTTGACTTCTACTCAAAATCCCATTCATTTATTTTATAGAAGAGACAATCAGATAGAATAAGGCTGGTGACTATTCCCTCTTCAGACATTAATTATGAACGATTATGTACTAAAAATCAGTAATACAGAAGAGATACTTACTTGATCTTGCACATTCCAACTGAAATGTTTACTCAAGTCAAGAGCTCTATCATAAAATCTAAAATGAAACAGATCTATTTCTCAATATAATCTTCAGATTTGAAGATTCACAACCAGTGGCGGATCCAGGAAATTTATGGACGGGGGCACATAACAAAATACCATATCATTAAAAATAAGTAGTTACATTATACAACTGTTCTCTATGAGTTTTCATCATTTGAAAACGAGTCATTACGTCTTCGTTTGAAACGTTAGTAAGTCCTTTTTCTACGCACATGTTACACAACCATTCAGAAAATCATCACAAACTGGAAAGGAAAAAGAACAGAGCAATGAACACCATCCTACTCTAATTCAAAGTTTAACCAGATGAACAATTCATAAAATCGGGTATATTCAAGAGTAAATTAAGCGAAGAAACAATTGACATGCATATTCTTCTGTCATGGGGTTTGCTAAAGACTTGGAGCTTTTATCCAGATTCTCTCGTGGCCTCATGGGATTTTATTTGGAGCTTTTTATCCATTGATTGGCAAATAGCAAAGCTGGAAGAATGAACAGTCTCTACTCTCCAAAAGAACCAAAACTATTGCAAAAGTGTTAGGTACTCTAGTAGAAGAAAAGGGAACACCAAATTGCAGGAACAAGTGATGAAGTGAGCAATAAAAGAAGAAATTGAACCTTTTGCAGATGAAATAGAACCTTTTGCAGATGAAATCGAACTCCAAAGCTTTTGTTTGAAGAAAATCAGCAATCGAACCACAAATCGAACTCCAAGGAAGGCTCGTAGGCGCCGGTGGCTCGTGGTCGGAAGATGGCCGAACGGCTGTAGGTTTTGGGCTGGGGTGGGGCCACGGGAACAAAATTCTGGCTTCTTGATTTCCTCTCCCAAAATCCGTCAATTAACATTTTAGAAAATTCGTTGGACCGTTCGTTCAAATCGATCAAACCAAATTAAGCGGACCGTTTTTTACCGTTAGAATAGTCTATGATAAGGTGTTGGAATTGTTTATAAAAACAATTTATCTATATTATTATACTAGATTATAAAGTATTTGATAAAAACTCTTAAAAATTATTTTTTATGCATAAAGTAATGTTTATTAATGCATATTACTTAAAACTCAAGATTGCAACTATATTGACATATTGTGCGTAAGTACAACTTATCAAAGCTTCATATCTTGATTCGTGTAACTAACTGCAGATAAACATAATCAAATACAGGATAAACAACTAAAATATAATTAGAATAATCATTGAGTTCTAACAGAATACTTAATTATTATCTTTATAAAATGTTATATTATTAAACCAAAAATAAATTATTTCRTTATTAAACTTAAATTACATTATAATAAAAAATTAAAGAAATTACATAAAAAATAAGAACTTTTAAATAGTTGATTTGATATTAACATTGATATATTTTTTTTAAAATTTTTATGATATTTCAAATTTATATTTTATTCAAAAATAAAATCATTATTGCTTTCTTAAAAACACATAAAATCGTATTATAACATCGACAAAGACAAATAATAAAATAGAACATTAAAATCGAGATGTGTCTCGTTGCATTACGCGAGTACTCTTCTAGTTAATTTATTACGGTTACGGTGTGGTACCGATAATAAGCATTTTTGAATGTTTGGATAAACAACTTATATCAATGTCAAACCGGTAATAAGAAGTTTTTAAAAAAGTTAAATTCTTCTAACTTATAATAAGTTGATAAGTGTTTTTTTAGAAAAGTATAAGTTATTTCAAATAAGCAATCCCAAACACCCTGTAAAATTTCAAACCGTTTGATCTGGTCTTGTCTAGAGTTTAAATGTTTTTTTGAGTTGTTTGACCGAACTAACCTCCAAAAATACGCATATTAGTTATATTTAGTTTCTCATATTATATAATCAACTTTATGGCACAATTAAAAAAGTTCGTACAAGACATTATGTTATATTCTTTATTTTTCTATCGACAGTGTCTATCTAAATTGGCAAAATTCCAGAGTCAGTCAAAAATTAAATCCAAAATTTCAAATTGTTTTTCGATTTGCTCAATATTTGTCCAAAATTTCAACTATTGTTAGTGGATTTGTTTAACATTTTTTCAACTTGATCAGTGTTTTTTAGTTAATAGAGATAGATGAATCTTTTATAATTTGATATCCTACTTTATAATAATGTTATATTGATAGAAATTTTGTTTTGAATGTATATGTTATGTTTTTCTAAGTTTAAAGCCATAAAAGGCCCAAACTACCTAAACTGGTCAGAACAGACCGTCTTTTATGGTTTAGGTTGACCGGTTTGGTCACATGTTGTCAAATCGAGCTATGGTCTGGGTTAACCGATTTGGTTACATGTTGCCAAACCGCTCGGTTTGAAAATTTTAATAGGAAAGGCATTGTGGTTTGGTTATGGTTTAAGGGGTTAAATCGTCCAAATCGAATCATAAAACAC